TTTACTCGCAGTTAATATCTGTCCGCACTCTAACCTAGAAACATGCACCATCGGGACAGATCGAGTAGGGGTTATAAAATTCAAACTAACGTTGTAGGAGAGTGTCCATCGAAACTTTTCAGGAATACGAAAGGTACACAATCAAGATTCAATCAAACCTTATGAGAAACATGTGTCTGTCAAAATCGGTTTTCATGGCTGCACAACACGCACACACTCACACACACTCACTTCGTCTCCGACCGGAAACAAACAGACAGCATCAGCCCGAAGCCCGAACCCGACTGCCGACCGTCTTCTGTTTGAAGACTGTCGCTTCCGTAAGGCCGCGCCGCGCCACTCTTTTGAAATTCTCTCCTTCCCATGAGATTGAACGGTAGACCGTGACATCGTGACGAGTCTCCTCCCCATCCTGACTTCTTGTTCATTTACTATCGGCCCTCATGCCATGCTCTTGCCCGGTGTTAACCCCCCCCCCTCTTTTCTCCGGCCCGAGACAGAGCCCCTATCTCCCGGAGCCTCGTCAAACCCCTCCCCGTTTCATGGCAAGGCTCGCCATGGCGGACTGGCCGGACACTCGTCCGTCTTGCGATCGCGCAGTGGGTGAGTAAGGCCCGCGGGACCCGACTCGGCACGCTGCTGTCCCTGTCGCACCACCGGGGCCCCGGGGGAGGCGCACCGTTGACGCCGTTGGTGCGACGAAGAAGCAAAGGGCCGCAGCTCTGATGCGGACGCGTGGGGACAGAGGGGCGGGACGGGGCAACGGAGGAGAGGGCGGACCAGCGCGGCGGGCGCGGGCGGTGGCTTTCATCGCAAATTGAAGTGTTATCAGATGCCGCCTCTGCGGGCCGCCTGGCCAGGCAGAGGGGAGGGGCGAGGGAGGGGGTGGTCGAGGTGGCCTCGCCCCACCGGGCCGTCAGGTAGTCGAGAGCAAACAAGACGTCGTCGATGGAAATTGTTTTCAAATTAATTTCCCTTTTACCTTTCTCCCTTATTCTTTATCGCAGGGGGCCAAGCGCGCCCGCTCGTGGAGCGCTCTCTACATACACACAGGTCGTTGCAAAGACATTCCACATTTTTCCACATTCCCCTCGCGAGGCTGACGTCTGTTTCCACGGGACGGGCAGAGGGCGCGGAGGGCAAGGCGGGTGAGGCCAAGCAGCGGCGCCAATAACATCAGAAAGCAGCTTGGAAAAGGGCAAAAAGGGGAGTGCGGTGGCCGAGAGTGGAGGCCGCGGCGGCGGAGGCGGGGGCAGAGAAGAGGGAGGCCGGGCGATCGGCCCCATCAAGGGCGCGTCCCGGCGAGGCCCATACGCCGCCCGTCCACACGGCCCACGGAGTCCGCCCCGCCGGGCCTCAAAGGATTCCCGCGCACCCCCGCGGGGGGAGGAGGGGCGGGGGCGGCCAGGATATATCGGATCTGACGGGTGCGCGCGACGCCTCGCTTTGATCGAGCAGGCGTCGCGATGTGGCGTGGCGCGGCGTAGCGACGGAACATATCCGCGGCATAATTATCACAAGCAGTGGGGACTGCTGACCTACATATACACGAACAATCATTGTGCCCTATCCTTGGGGCTGAAAGTGGCGTCTGTGTGTGTGTATGTGTGTGCGTGTGTGTGTGTGTGTGTGTGTGTGTGTGTGTGTGTGTGTGTGTGTGTCACAAAAGGCTGCTGCCTTTTCATGGCAGATCAAACTGACAGGCGAGCACCGTGATAGCCGCCTCCCCACATGTGTGGGACTGGTGCCCCCTTTCCTCCCCCAGCGGGGGGATGATCGGTCCGTGGCAGGCAGACGGCGCGGCATTGCTGTTCCGCGGGGGGCTCGGAATCGCCTCCGAGTAAAATAAAGTGCGAAAAGCGTTTTCCTGCCAGCGGGTGATTGCCAATAGCAGGCTGCCGTGGCGTGGCGAGATCGAGTCGAGCAGGCCGTGCTCCGGGAGGCGGGGGTGTGGTGTGGGGGAGGCCGCCGCCGGGCTGGGCCGCCACGCCGGGGGAAGGCCACGCTATGGAGCCATCCGTCTTGCCGCTGGCTGGGATTACTTTTCACACATGGAAAGAAGTCCATATTTGTCAACGTGACACGAGGAGAAATGCTTGGCCGTGGCAGCTGCTGCAGCAGCGGGGCCAGGGAACAGCGCCAGGAGCAGGCCAGGCGCGGAGGGCCGCCGCCGTCGCCACCCCCAGCGCGACGGCGCGCGCCGCGGCTCTCCAGGGCGCTCCAGGGCCCAACGGCAGAGCAGAGAGCAGGGGAGGGCGAGTTCGGCGACTATTGAGTTCACCTTCTGCTCACCTCTCTGCTGTGAGGACGATCGGGCAAGCCGGGGGGCGCATGAAGGTCGACGAGAAGTGATGTGGATAGGGTGACATACTCCCGCGGGTGGACCGTCACTGGAGGAGGCTCCGTCTCTGTCCCTGTCTCTCTCTATATTTCCATCTCACTCACCCCGCCTCCAGGAGAAGGCAAAGGTGTCAAGACACGCGGGCTGGGGAAGAAGGCACATCGCAGAGAGAGAGATACTGTATAAAGCATGATATAGTAGGACGGGGAGAGAGGGAACCTCGAAATAAGCATCATCATCATCCGAAAAGCCCCCGCCAAAGGTGTGTGCGTGTCTCCAATGGTAACGGGTACCGCGCGAAAGGGGGGGGGGGTATAACACGGCCGCGAACAGGAGTAAGGGGAGTAAGTCCTCCTCCTCGGGGCTCGGCGGCCCGGCCCGCTCCTACGACTCGGCGCCAACTCAAACAGCTATCGCCACACCGCTTTATCAAACTGCATTTGAATCCAATTTGCCTCCTTCCCCTCCTCCTCCTCCTCCTCTGCGCGCTCTGGCAGTGAGGGGAGAGGTGGAGGAGGGAGGGCGGGTGTGTAGGGGGTTGGGTGAGGCGCGGCGGGGAGGAGAGGCCGCACTGCGAGAGAGAGTCCCCGGGACGAGACGAGACGCGGCCAAGTTATAGATTGAGGGATTTAGAGAAAGTGGCGAGATAACTCACACCCCGGCGTCAAGGCCCTTAAAGCCTCCATTTTTCATACATGTGCGCGGCAAAGAAGCTATGCGGTGTGCGGCGGTGAGCCCCTCTTGGTTACTCCCCCCCCCCCTTCTTTTCCTTCTCAGGTCACCTCACCTCGTCCCCTTCGTCCCTCACGGCCGTTTTCCGCATTGCTCATTTATGGCCCCTCGTTCTATTTTTATTTCATTTTGATAAAGTGAGCGTGTCTCTATGTGTCATGTGGTTATTGACTCGGGACAGAGTGCCCGCGATGTAACTGCAATGCTATGTGACCGCAGAGCGTGACCGCGGCAGGGGTGGGGGCTGCTGGGCGGGGGCGGAACTGTGTGTTGCTGGAGAGGGGTGAATCACTCGTGTCCTCGTCTCGTGTGTACAAGCAAGTTGTACTCCTACCCAAAGGAGAATGACTTCCTCCCTGATAGGGACTTAGACGTCAGACTGACGTCGACACCATCTTGACCCCTTGTTGACTTTGCGTTGTCGCTGGGTAGTATAGTTGTTGTGCCCGACCGCGTACTCATCATGCACTCATTCTGTACTCTCGAAAAAACTTCTCAATGGGGTGGAGCTGTGCAGGGAGTACGCAATGTCTAGCAACGAGTACGATACATAAGAGTATTCTCATGTGCTCCGATGCGTACTCGATCCCGTTTTCACTCGAGCACTCGCTTGTACTCATGCGTGTACTCGACTGTGTATTCATGAGTACCCATGCGGCAGTCTCCTGGACGTACGTTGTGAACAGCACATCGCTAATATAACTGCGCAATTTGAGGGAGGGGGAATACCGTCCTCCCCCCCCCCCCTTGCCCCGTGGTTGACACTGGCCTAACGCCTGTCACGAGCACCGTGACTGTGACATCCGCCCCCGGAGCAGTAGCAGCAGCAGCTGGCTGGACCAGAGACAACGCGGCGGTGACGGCTCCGAGTCACGTCACATGCCCCCGAGGGACAGCGGCCCGCCACTCACGCCCGCGCCGTCCCCGAGCCGCCAAGGGCCGTCTTACACTACTCACTCGACTCACCTGAGGGCCGCTCCGCGGGTCGCTGCTGCTGGGTCGGCGGCGGATGGAACGACCCGCGCGGTGGGGAAGACCGAAGCGGTTGACGGCCGGCCGGGGGAACGACCAGCGAGGCGGGGGTGGAACAGCTGAGCGGCGCGCGCGCGCCGGGAGCGCCGGGGTACGAGACGAGAGACGCGGGACGCGGGGTGGCGCCTCGACGCGGGGGCGCAACGAGCTGAGCGGATCCGCCCTGGCGCCAGGCGCGTGCCGAACCGACTGGGCTGGACAGGCCGAGGGGAGGCTGGGCCTGCGCCCCCTGCCGCAGCAGCCCCCGCCGCGACACCACCGAGGCGTCGATACCCAGCGTCGCGGCGCCCCCAAAGCGCGCGGGCGAGGAGTATAGTCACCGCGGGGAGGCGTCGCTGTGCAGAACGCAACGAGCGCAACCATCAATCGTCACCAATAGAGACAACAGACGCGTACACATTGGGTATATATAGACGTTGGATGTTGATTAAAAGTAAATCACACCGCCAGAAACGACGGTAGGTATCAAAACGTCATCGTCATCGTTTTTATTAACATCGGTATCGATACAGTCACCGAGAATAAAGTTGGACTTAAATTGGGTCATTCAATCTCCAAACGATAACGTTTTGCCGTTGCCATAATGTTGCTTTATAAAATTCAACAGCTGTAAATAAAATGTAAAGTGCTTTACTTACTTTACTTGTGAGTAATATATATATGTATAGGCCTATGATAGATAGGTCGTGGTGCCCATGAAGCAAGCGCCTCCGGCCCCGGCGGTTACCTATAGCTCTCTACGGAAGTTTACAGACGAAATTAGCTTCAAGAAAACCATTTTTTTTGAGTCCCAAACTGTGAGACACTGACTGGTTTCATTCGTTTGACGTCCATACTCAATTGCCGCGCCTTCACATCGTGTTGGACTACCAACCTCGGAAATAAAACAAAAACCGCGGGAGGCAAGGTGAACGGAAACAATTACTTTTACAATATTGGATGCATTTCAATTATACTGTCTTAAAACTTATTTTTTTTATTTTTTGAAAACATAAAAGTATACAGTAAGGTGAACTCTTCAACACATTCTGACGTCTTTGGTATCTTCGGTAAGATCATGGTAGCAGATGGTAGTAGATTGATAGAAGGCGCATCGTCTGCTCTGCTGAGTTCTGCTAAATCTTGTTTGGTGTTTGGCGTTGTTAGTTTCACACTAAATTTTATAGTTGAATCGTCCAACACAAAAAGGTTTGTGCTCGATTTTAGTCACATTGTCCTGTCATTTTTCGCTTCATATTCGGAAACATAGACTGCAGTCGACTCTGCACGCACTGGCCAACTTTTCTATTGATTTCGCAACGGTGTTGTTTCCATGTTACTGCTGTCAATCTTTAGAATGTCGAATAATTACCTTTCGGTACAGAGAGAGATGTATTTCCTATCGTCATCTGTATCATAAATTTTTGTGGTACATGTATTACACATTGGAGGGACGCGCAACGATGTTTGACATTTATCAATCTTAAATAATCCAATCTCGTTATAATGAAACTATATGGTGAAAATTTTATTGCCTTATTTGTTCTATGCAGTTTTAAGCTGTAATGCCACTTGTTTACTTTGGCTTTCAAGGCATAAAGCTTATTGCTTTTTGTATGAAAGTGAAAGAATATGTATCTGAGATAATTCAGTAACACCAATCTCATCTGTTGTTTTTTTGTTGTTGTTTTTGTTTGTTTTTACAGAATGTAGAACAATAGTACCCATCTCTCTGAGTGCAAAATGAGAGGGAATCCCATACATTGGCTGGACTGGAGAAACTCAGAAAATCTGAAATACAGCATGTCATCTGGCACCAGGAAAACTCCTATTTCCCAATGGATCTCAACAACCCTTACAGTTTCTCAAGTCATTCTTCATCAGACTTAAATCTAGAGACTGTACGGGCTTTGCACCAAACAGTTGTAGCTCTTCGAGCGGCTTTGGAACAGTCTCGCTCTGAGTTGTTTGAACTTCGTGTTAAAGTTCATTCAAACTCAAACAACAAAGTTTATGCTGATACTATTGAAAAGCTAGCTCTAGAAAACCATATTTTGAGAGAACGTGTTTTAGCTACCAGAGCTGTGAAAACTATGGAAGAAGAAGAAAATGCCTGTGATTCTTCCCCTGGATCGAGCTCAGTGCCAGTTGATGAACAGACTTCTGCTGTAGATCCTGAAAATACAGCGGATACTACAGAGACCAAAGATGCTGAAGACATTGCTTTGCACCATGTACAAACAGAAACTGTCCCTACAACAGACAAAATAAATCCTATCAAATCAGAGGAGAGTGAGGATAATCCAGATTTTGGTGCAGCTGAAAATGAATCATGTATTGGATTGGATAAGGAAGAGGATGTATGTGAAAATTCCTGCTCAGCAGACGAAGAACAACTTGAAAATGAGAAACCAGCACCATCACAGGTATGTGATAGTGAGGACCAAATCAATGGGATAAAACCTAAGGCAAATGAAGACTCTGATAATGAATCAGAGGAGCTGGACGACATAGAACTGATATTTACCACTGAGGAAACCAAAGAGCTGGGAGTCATGCAAGAAGATTTGGTCTCCATAAGTGACACAGAAAATTGGACTGCAGTGAATGGTCAACCATCTCTTCCAGTTACTGTTGAGAAAAGCACCCAATTTGATGAAGAGAGTACAGGTCTTCGTATGCCATGGACCCACACAGTTGTCGTGGAAACTGATATAAGCAAATGTGGGATCATAGATGAAAATGAAGTTCCACCAAACAATAATTTAAGGCGTAACACACTTCCTAGCCCAATGCCATACAGACCTATTATTCATAAAGAAGTTTTATCGTCTTCAAAAAGCCCATCTCATAGCATGAAGTTCTCGACATCACGAAGTCCACGGCCTCCTGGGTCTACTGATTCAAAACGATTACCAATGAGGCCGATTTTAGTAGAGCCTAACAGTTCACCAAAGTGTGAGTCTGAAGCTCAGACAGACATAACTGCATTACCTTCTCATTGGAAATCAGAGAGCTATTTGGCTCACAAGGTTTGTCCTCAAACTTTTAAAATCAACTAGTGCACCTATCTTTCAGTTGTCAATATTGAATTTCACTCCCCTGTTTTTAAAATTTCAGGTTTCTCACCCATTTACAACACTACCATCCAAATTTACTTTACCAACTCGACAAGCTATGCAAAGCCGTCCATCTTTGAAAATATGCAATCGTAGCCAAGATGCACGAAGAATTCTACTTTCTGATATAAATTTTACCAGCATGGTGCCCGAACTTTCTCGAAGTGCTGACCATTTGGCTCTGGAGTCAGGTGTTTCGGGTGCAGTTGATTCTGGCAGTCTTGCTCCGACAGTAGCAGGCCTCTATCGAAACTTTCCCAGAGCCTTTTCTTACATGAAAAATCCTGACATCATGGGCCCATGTTTGGTCTCTCCAGGTTATCAGCATGCTCGAGAATATGGTCGCTTTCAGTGGTCTCCATGTGAGTGTGTTGCCCAAAGTAAATGGGAATATTCTACTAAGTACCAGGTTTGTACCCATTTTAAAGAGTTCTTTACCTAAATTAGAAAAAAAAATAGAATTTTAGCTACTTTATCATATTGACAATGCACACCTTTACAGAAAAATTCTTATGGAATTACATTGCACTTGTTCCTTACCCTGCTTTTGAATCCTGGCTGATGGTCCATTTAATTTGATTCCAGAGTACCCAGTCTTCAGCTACCTCTCCTCAACCTCCTGATGTAGATGTGAAACAACGTCCTGAAATAAAACCTTCATCCTCCTTACTTGAGGTGTGCCGTCATGGACACCTAATCCAGAGATCTGTATCTTCCTCCTCTTGGCAGTCTGAACCAGCTTCTCCAACTCGCTGTCTTCTTCACAACAGAACCCGTAGTGTTCCTCTTACTACGTCTTATACACAATCTCGTTCCAAACTTGCTGGGCCAGCAGTGTCATGGGGTTGTCGATACTCACCCTCTAGTAATTATGGCCCAAGTGTGAATCGAGCTCGCAGCAAGGTTTCCTTTCAAGGTAATTTTTTCCCAGTAAAACTTTGGTCTTGATGTTATCTAGTATGAGTTTTACCTCTTCATAATTGGTTGCCTTCCTAACTTTCTAAAAACTTGTCATATAAACCTTAAGAAATTTCAATTAGGTCCTCATTAAAACAAACTTTCCAAAACTATTTTAGTTTTCTTAGTTCTCTTTGTAGGATCTTCTACTAATTCCCTTGAAAATAGAATTAAAAATTTTCTTTGCTTACTGTTTGTAAAACCAGTGAAGTTTTCAGGGTTTTATTCAAATCAATTATTGTTGATAGTAATTTTATAAATATATTTTGTACTTAATGTGTGGCTTTCCTTTCTCATTATTTTCTCTATTTTATTTAAGATAATTGCCTCCGTCGGCAAGGAAGAGGAGGACAATCCCTTCCAGATTTACGCATCACAGATGCCCAGGCAGACAGTGGTGACTCAACTGATTCCCTCATAGATGAAGCTGAGGATTATGTTAGAAGGTCTATTGATTCAATTGTAACAGGAACTGATGTATCCCGAATCAGTCGGCGTCGCATGGCTCGAAGGCATTCTGATCCAGATCCTATCAGAGGTAAGCAAAAACTTACGTAAAGCACTGTATGTTTTGATCCAGGCCCCGGTGCTCGGGCTAACCAAGGTATGATTAGACCAACTTTGTAAGCCTGGACCATAATATATATTTGGTTTCTGAAATTACATATATTTTTAGTTTCTACATATATTGAAAATTTTGACAGTCCTCATTGTAACAGCTACCAAGCAATCTTAACATTTCTACAATGTTTGTTTACAGATTTAATTTCATTAAAAACTGCACAGCCATTTCTTCCTAAAGGAATCAATGATCTTAAATTAGATCACTTGGTGAAAATTATCACTGGTGATGGCCGAGTTACTGTTGGAAAAGTTCGGTATGTGGGTGCAGTTGCAGGACTCTCCGACCCACATGTTGGTGTCGAATTGCCTTCTAGTAATGGTGATTCAGATGGCTCATTTCGTGGACGACGATATTTTGAATGGTATGTTCAATTTATATTTTTACCAATTGTATAAAGTCTCATCCGAGCATATATGGTTGAGGGAGACTACACCTCTGTCTAACTATGTATCTTGATTATGTTTCCCAGTGACCCAGCCCACTCTCTATTTGTACCTTTCAAAAAGGTAGTCATGGCTTGGAAGACATGAAAAACAAGAGTCAATCAACCATTCACTTTTTATTGATTTTTTTTTATTTTTTTCACTTTATTGTTATTTTTGTTGATGCATTTTGTTAAATTTTAATTTTTCTTAGTTTACCTTTTTGTTTTCATTTATTTGTGTTGATTTTATCACATAATGAGTTATTATATTTTGTTAACAACATTTTTTTTTAAGACAATGTTGATATTTTTGTTTACATTTCCTTTACTGATACTACTACCAGTAGATGAAAATTTTAAATGGCAGTGAAATGCTTACCAAGGCTTCTTATTAGAATTATTTGTGATAATCAGAGGTAGAGCTAGGCCAAAAATTTGAGTTTTAAGAAGTCAGATTGGCCATTGTGCTAGAAGAGAATCGATGGTCTTAGTATTACAGGTCAGCCATCCAGTTTACAAATTTTAAGTATATTACCACATCTTTGCATGCTTGATCTAAGCATATTGTATTCATAGATTTCTCAGGTTATGATAGTTTGGCAACTGGAAATCAAATGCAGATAAAGGGGAGGCTGTTCTGAGAGATTACTCTGTATTTCTCGGGTTTTTGCAAAACAGTATATTAAAACGATCCATACTCTATCTGAATAATTTGATTTGTTGTAATTCACATTTAAAAATTTCTTAACCACTTCAAAAAGTTACAACCTGTCTCTTCTGTATCATTCCATTTGATCTCATTTTGAATGCTTGTTTCTTTAAGTACACATTTACTCTCCTTCATTATCCTATCCATCTGTAAGAATCTCTTAGTAAATTAAGGTTTTTTATTTTGCTATTTTGCAATTTTTGTCAGAATTAAATTTTTTGTTTGTCTTTGACATGAGTTAATAGGATGTATGTGACTTATAGACTTTGAGAATGTGAATAATAGTTTACCTAAACCCCTAGGAAAAATCAAGATTGTTTCATGATATCCGCCTATTTTTGTTTCCTTCTTGTATTTTGGGGTTTAGTTTAGGAATTATCTTTTTCCTATTCTATTGTTCAATACCACTCTGAAATTGGTCTTAACTCATCAAATATGTGAGATTTCCGTACTTTCTGCTGTGAGTGTGCCTTTCAAAGTAACATTTTATCAGTAGTTTGTTAATTTTTAAGCAAAGCTAGTGGAGTGATCTGTCCACCAATATTTACTGAGAATCATTGAAGAGTTTTTCATTTCATGCAGGACATGAGTGCACCACATAGTTTTTCTCTATTCAGAGTAAAATCACTCTGTCTGTGATTCAGTTGGTAGAATGATAATATAACAAGACAGACGAAGAATGGTTAGCAGGTGTATGGTATGTAGTGCTAAAGAAGTAACTCATATCGGAGGGAGTGCCTTATTTTAGAGAACATTTTTAGAAAATGAAATTCTGTTTTATGTTATAACAAGCAATTCTGATATTATATCTTGAACTTAACTGTCCAAAATCACCATTCCAAATGTATCCTATATAAGTCTTATTTTTAAATCACAGGTAACTAATAAAATTTTCCACAATTGGTCTTTATATATCATGAACTTCAATTAAAATTTACTCTGCAAATCTAAGTGCAGAACTGTACTACAGTTGCAAGTGGCCAACATTTTGTTCTGTAGAACAAAACAGTTTGTCACTACATACTGGAGCACTCCGTTTTCCAAATGCAGTAGAGTGCATGCGAGAACTTACAAGTTCTTCAGTTCCTTGGGATGAACTTTTTTGTTTTGCAGTTGCAACTGCAGAACATTTTAGTTTGCCTCTTGACACTTACAACTGCAGCACAGTTCTGCACTAAGATTTGCATGGCATCATTTTGTCTACTTTATTCCATTGAATTTTGTGTGACTTACTGTCATCTTCAGATCCATGCACGCATAAGAGTTTTTTATCTTGCACTGTTGTCAGTTGTAATCAGTATTATATTATAACTTTAATAACTGCAATTGTACACTAAATACACATTGTGATTAGTGTGAGTAGGTGTGTGTTGAGTATTTAGTTTGTGCGGTCATTTTTGCTGTGTGAAGATTCCTGGAAAATTTTATGAGAAAATTGTTGCTTTGTCTTGCTTTTTCCAGCTTAAATGTGCAATTTTCTTAGTGTGATGCTGCTAATCTAAGTTTCTCTGTGATTGGTATTAGAGGATAACTTTCTGTGGAGATCATTGTGCTTGTCTGTTCGTAACTGTGTCATCAATCTCTTAAGTATCGTCTTTTGAAAAATTGCATTTAAGTTATCCTTTTTAAGGTTTTGCAGTTGTGCTGCAGTAATTGTGTTTTACGTATTTTACGTTTATTTTTATTTTGGACAGGCTAGTAGTAAGTTTTATGTGACCAAAATTCCAAATACTAACTGTGGACAAGTTCAGATGTTGAAGAACATTTATTTTTCTAGCACGAAAAGACTTGATAAGAGGCTGGTTAAAATCTGGAATATCTTTTAAAAGAATTTAATATTTTGATTAGTCTCACAGAGATGTATTGATTAAAGATAATTTGCTTTCTGTGAAGATTGAGCATTGTGTATGTATAGCCAAGCAGAAAGATCCTAGGCCAGATTCCAACATTGTAATTCTTTGGTAGAGCCTGCTACCTTTTACAACTAATCTTATGTTTGAAAAAAGCAAAGAAAGATTATGTACAAGATTAAATTATCTTTATCATTAATTAACATTAAATGTCTACAGAGAGATTCTTGG